GTAACCCAATCAATAATCTTTGATTAGATGGGATTTCTTGTAATAATTTTAATGCTCTTGTAGATAATTCTGTCTCTGTATTATCCATATTGTTCTATTAGTCTATTTAATATTATGTCTATTGGGGAATATATAGAGTCCAATGATATTTTAACATTATACTCTTACATTTGATGCAAAAACTTCAATAGTTGGGGATTACAATGCTTAAATCATCACACAATTACAAATGTCTTTTCTGATTCGAATGCTCGGTACAATGTTATCCAAATATCTTATAACATGGAAGTCTGTAGACCGTTGCAAGACAATATCTGAAAAGGACCTAACCAAATCTGATTTTCTTAGAGCCGTTTATTTATAGTTGATATATAGACAAAAGCTTGGTTTAGCTACTAGTATAACTAGTTTGATTTAGCCTCTGGGTTTAAGAGCTCCGTTATTGTTCCTTATGCCCTAGATATTAACATGGGGGTTGCATATACAATAACAATATAATTTACAAGACGCGTGTATCTATGCTATTTTCGTTGACACATACCCTTTGATAAATGGATTAATTATGGGATTCTCCAGTCCGTTGCGTTTATCACGTATATACGTATTAGTATTTGTGGTTTAAGATCTGGTTATCTGTAGATCTTCTCGAGGGTTAATGGAAGCAAGCACTAATATAGAATCAAATTTAGTCGATAATTTATGCTACTGAACCTTGACCACAGTGGAATTATACAAATGGATCACAATAATCCGATTTAGCTTCTAACTCTATCATACTTAGCCTTAGAATGGCTGATGTTGAATCAATGGAGCTCAAAATTCCATGAGTTGTTGTTCTGTCGTATTCTTGAATCAGATCCCCAGACCAAGCCACATGAAAAGTATACGACCTGTAGAACATCCTATGAAGATACAACAATCCACGTACACAATATACCTCTATAACAACACTCTTCAAAGCTCAGATTATACAAATCGCTTATTCTTGACTTCCAATAGTCGCAATATTTGTCGACACCAAAAGTTTTTCCGTATTAGTCCTCCGTTTACCCCAGAAAATTTAAACCGCGTACGCCAAATTTTATTATGTCATCTGGAAAAATTGTGGAGAATTTATGAATTTTGAAATTCATACGCGGAATATCTTTGATATCCTAAAATACTGTAGATCCCAAATTTAAAGGGCTAATGTTTCTGAGTTTGTGACTATTTTCAGTTTGTTTCATGATTATAAAAAGTCATATTCTGGGGTGGTTTTGCATAGTAATATAATTTACTATATAAAGCATTGGGGATCCCTGTAAAACAGACCAGATCAAGGTACCATATATATAGTTACTTTATCTTCAGATAGACGTCTATCAATCAATAGCAATACTTAATATGTCACAACCTAATGATTTAACAGTTCCTGAGAAGACTACTCTTCAAGAAACTGAACAAGTACCATCTGCAACTACTGATTCACATAATGACTATACTAGCACGAATGATGAAGATGATATATTTGAACTAACACATACCAAAGAAAACGTTTTCCAAATGGCTAAAAAGAATCCATTAATGTTTATTATTGTTGTATTTGCTACATTGGCTGGGTTTCTTTTTGGTTATGATCAAGGTGTTGCTGGTCCTTTAGTTACAGGTCAAGCTTTTGGTGCTAGATTTCCAAGAATCTTCAATGATAGTGAATATAAAGGTTGGTTCGTTTCAACTTTATTGATTTCAGCTTGGTTAGGTGCTATTGTTTGTGCTCCAATGGTTGATAGATTTGGTAGAAGAGATTCTATTATTATTTCATCAACTATATTTATTATTGGATCCGTGTTCCAATGTGCTGGTATTTCAGTTTCAATGTTATTTGGTGGTAGAGCTGTTACAGGGTTTGGTGTTGGTATATTAACAATGTTGGGTCCTTTATATATTAGTGAATTATCAGTTCCTTCTGCAAGAGGTAGTTTAGTTTCTTTACAACAATTAAGTATCACATTTGGTATCTTAGTTGCTTATTGGGTTAATTATGGTTCGAATTACATTGGTGGTACAAGATGTTCACCAAATACACCATATGCTGATGGAGAATCATTTAATCCTTATACAGATGTTCCACAAGGTGGTTGTGATGGACAACGTGATTCTGCTTGGAGATTCCCATTTGGTCTTCAAATCTTACCAGCTGCAATTTTAGCAATTGGTATGTTTTTCTTACCAAGATCACCACGTTGGTTAATGATTAAAGGTCGTGAAGAAGAATCTTTAAATACATTAGCTTATTTACGCCGTCTTCCAACAGATGATAAAAGAGTTCAAGCTGAATTTTTGGAAATTAAAGGTGAAGTTCTATTTGAAAAGACTTTCAAAAAGCAAAAATTTGGTAATAGTAAAGGTGTTGCTTTAGCTTTCAAAGAATATAAAAACTTATTCAACAATAAGGCAAATTTTAGAAGAGTTTTCATTGGTTCTGCAATTATGTTTGAACAACAATTTATTGGTTGTAATGCAATCATTTATTATTCTGTTTCAATTTTCTCAATGTTAGGTCTAAGTGGTGATACTGCATCTTTATTAGCATCAGGTGTCTATGGTATTGTCAATTTTGTATCAACAATTCCAGCTGTGTTATTCTTGGATAAATTTGGTCGTAAGAAAATGTTACAAGCAGGTTCAATTGGCACTTTCATTTCATTAATCATTGTTGGTAGTATTATTGGTAAATATGATGGTAAATTAGATCAAAATAAAGCAGCTGGATGGACTGCTATTGCATTTGTTTATATCTATGATATTAATTTCAGTTATTCATGGGCACCAATTGGTTGGGTTTATCCATCAGAAATTTTCCCATTAGCTATTCGTTCTAAAGCCATTTCAATAACAACATCTTCAACATGGATGAATAATTTTATTATTGGATTAATCACACCTATAATGTTGGATACTATGAAATTTGGTACTTTCATCTTCTTTGCAGCTTTTGCATTTATTGGATTTCTCTTTGTTTGGTTCCTTGTTCCGGAAACAATGAATAGAACTTTAGAAGAAATGGATGAAGTGTTTGGTGATCTTGATGCATTTGAAAATAAACGTCAATTAGCAAAGATTCAAGAAAGTTTGAGTAAAAACCCTGGTGGTGAGATTGATATTGATTCAAAACAAAATTTTGAACACCTTGAGGATAGTAAAGTCTAGTTGCTGTATTATATATAATTGATTGGTTTACGCTTGCTTAATTTGAAATACTTTTGTTCATGAACTTATAATTTACGTATATTTATATTAAAGATTTGTATTAATATTAATGACGTCTCCAATCCCATAGTCATACTGAAGATTTTTTTATTTCAAAATCATTCTTCTCTTTAGAAACACTTAACTTTCCGTCAATATTATGATCAATACCATTAACTTCTTCAATAACTTCCATCTCTCTCTGACCTTTACTAGTGAAAATTTGTTTGCAAATACTTATCAAAGCCTCTTTCCCATCCCATATAGGTAATAATAAAATAATAGAAGATGCAAGGAATGCCCATATAAACATAACAACAATCCATCCCGTAAAGAACCATTTAGTGAATATGAATTTAGCACCAAACATTGGTAAAGGGAATATAACTAAGAAAAATAAAACAACAAATGTAGCTAAACAAATACCAATATTTCTTTGTTTTCTTAAAAATCCTTCTCTTTCTTCTTCTTCTTTAAGATTTTGTTGAGTTAATTGTTGATTACTCAATATATTGGTTAGACCATGACTTTTATTTATATCTGAATCATCAGCTTGTTGAATAGTTTTCCAAACTTCCCAGTCAAAATTTGCAGGCTTAATGAAAACCAAAATAGGAACCCATACTAGAGGGAAGAATACAGAAACAGTATTGCCTGCAGCTAGTGCACTATATGTACTGAGTGTTGTCAAATTAATCTTATTACCTTCAGCTTGACTTGCAGCATAGCCAATCCAAACCGCTAATGCAACACATGTTGATGATAATGTACCTGTGATGTAAGCGAAAGAAGACATTTTTCTCCAAAATAATGTACACCCCATAGGCACAATATTAACATTAACAATAATACCTGATACCGTTGTTATGAATGAAACGTCAAATCCAGCATGTGCAAGACCAATAGCTAAAGCTAAACAAATAATGAAGAATCCCAAGACACCACTATGTGAAACATAAACCAATTGTTTTCCTGTAGCTTTAGGGTTAAAATATGCCTTATAAATATCATGTGCCAAAGTACTAGAAACCGCGACCACTTCAGAACTATAAGCAGCTGTACAAGCCATAAATATCATCGTCAAGACACCACCAGCACCAATTTTACCCATTAATGCATAAGCTGCAATTGGCATGACAAGACCATCATTGATTTGTTGCGTTGAAAGTGGTTCAGGATAAGTTGGGAACATTGGAGTATTTTCTAGACCACGACATGCTAAACCAAGAGTGGTTGCTAAAGCAAATGGGATTGCAAACCAGCATAAACAGCCTAGTGTATAAGCTGGTAAAACATATCTTGGATCAGCTGCTAAAGCTTTCTGCATCAATTGAGAATCACTTGCAGTAGCCCAACCAGCACCTGCTAAGACTAAACAGAATAAATAACCATTTGTTGATGTCATTGTTAAGTATGAACCTTCATGATTTTTCTCCACTGGAAAATCTTTACCTGCTTGAACTAATAGATCATATAATACAGCAGGTGATCCAATTTTATCACTTGTAGCATATGTGACAAAGATGAACATCAATAAAATCAAGAAAATTATAACTGAATGGAAATAATCTGAAATAAAAGTTGCTTTAATACCACCAAACAAAGTGTATATGGTAACAAATAAAGGTAATAAGACAATACAAGCGTCTCGATTCACGCCTGTTAGATTTGCAATTATTGAAGAACCATTAATTAATAAATTTGTTGAAAAGCAAATTTGTTGGAAAAATGAATATCCACAACTTAACAAGTGTGTTATTTTACCATATCTAACTCTAACAATCTCTTGATAAGTATGAGTATTGGGTGCTTTTCTCTTAATTTCAATAGCTGCAACTGAAAACACGACCATTTGGAAACTAGCAGCACCACCGTAGAAAAAAGGACCACTAACTCCTAAGTTATAAGCAGCTTGAGTACTTAACAATAAAGTTGGACCTATAGTCCAAGAACTAACAACAGCTGCTGCGATCAATCCTGATTTGATGGATCTGTTACCAGTCATTAACATTTCAGAATTTTGAACCTCACCTCTATATTTCTCCAAGACCAAAGTTGTAAGGACCATGAATAGAGCAAATGCAAATCCAACACCAATAACCAGCCCATAACCAACAGATTGTGGAAATATAACATAGTCATCTGAACCCATTATGGAGTACTTGATTAAGTTATTAGCTTTGAAGCCTTTCCATCTCCAACATTTTGTCAAAAATTAAGATACTTTGGCCTTTTAAACTATGGTTACTGATAGAACACGTTGAATGAAAGTCATATCACTGCTTATCACCAAGTCGATTATGACTCTATACCTTTTGGAACCGCTGTTCTATCAACTGGTTGATACATAACCATTGAATTGGGTACGAATATCATCAATGTCAATTTATCTTATCATCTTATCATGGGACATAATTATAGGAAAGAGATAAAGTCTAATTGTTTAACAGATAACATAGTGACATTCCTAAACTAGGTAAATGCGAAAGACTTCTTCAATAAAAGCTCCATTTTCAGACAACTCCACTATTTAAGATTTCCGTTCACCCAAGAGCAGAAACTTGGAGCACAGTTGGATGTTCTTAATCATTCATACTGTCTTTTGATTTGTTGTGTAGTGGAGCTGACCCTAATGTTGTTTATTTCAAATTTCCAGCGCATCAGCTCTTTTCAGGAAAGCGCGGACTTCCTAAACAATAAAAACCTCAAATTTTGTGCATTTAACAAGATTACTGATCTGATAAGCCAAAGGGTTTTGTAACGAATGTTGTGGGTTGTTGATGCTCCAGTGCTTGGCTTGTGGTGGTATATAAAAACATGGAGTGTGTCATTTGATCCTGTTGCGATGCATCCACTATTGTTATGAGTATGGCATCATGTCGGAAACAAAGAAGCAAAAGACAAGCTCAGACTTGAGGTTCACCAACATCAAGACGGTGCTAATTGCTAACAGAGGTGAAATTGCGTGCAGAATCATAGCATCTTGTAAGAAAGTAAGTATAGTGCTACTTTAGAATCAGGGGACAAGACTGACAAACTTTAGTATGAACTGAAATCAGTGGCAATCTATTCTAAAGAAGATACTGGTTCATTACACGTTTCACAAGCTGATCAGTCAGTGTTAATACCAGGTACTGGTTCACAAGCTTATATCAATATTGATTCCGTTCTTGATGTTGCTGTTAAAGTTGGAGCTGATGTGGTAATCCCAGGTTATGGATTCCTTTCTGAAAACTCAAACTTTGCCCAAAAATTAGAAGAAAAGGGTATAATATTTGCAGGTCCATCTGCTGAAAATGTTGAACAATTTGGATTGAAACATATCGCTAGACAATTGGCCATAAAGGCAAATGTCCCAGTGGTTCCTGGGACTGAATTAGTTGATACTTTAGAACAAGCTCGAAATGAAGGTGCTAAAATTGGTTATCCTTTAATGTTGAAATCCACTGCAGGTGGTGGTGGTATGGGTTTAAAAGTTTGTCATGATGAATCTCAACTTGAACAATTCTTTAATGAAGTGAAATCAAGAGGTCAAAGTCTATTTAGTAATACTGGTGTTTTCATTGAGAAATATGTTCAAAATGCACGTCATATTGAAATCCAATTGTTTGGTAATGGTCTTGGTGATGTGATTACTTTTGGTGAAAGAGAATGTTCAATTCAACGTCGTCATCAGAAAGTTATTGAAGAATCTCCAAGTCCCTTTGTTGATTTTGAATTGAGGCAAAAATTAAGTCAATGTGCTATAAGTCTCGCTTCTGAAGTTAAATATAAATCTGCAGGTACAATTGAATTTCTTGTTGATGATGATACAAGTGAATTTTATTTTTTGGAAATGAATACAAGATTACAAGTTGAACATGGTATCTCAGAACTGGTGTATGATGTTGATCTCGTTTACTTGATGCTCTTACAATCTGACTATGAAGTATCCAAATCTGGTATTCCATTAAGTATATTACAATCGCAAAGCTCATGCACGCTGAAAAATAATATTTTAAATCCAAATGGGCATGCGATTGAAGTTAGATTATATGCTGAAAATCCTATTAAAGATTTTGCTCCATCTCCTGGTATTTTACACCAAGTGGAATTTCCAGATAAAGACAACATTAGAATTGACCATTGGATCTCCACGGGTACAAAAGTCTCACCATATTTTGATCCATTACTAGCTAAAATCATGTCATGGGGCCCAACAAGAGAAGATGCAACAACAACGCTTATAGAGTATTTAAAATCAGTCAAGATTTGTGGTCCACCAACAAATATTTATTATTTAGGTGATATTCTTCATACTGATAATTTCAAAACTGGTAATACTTTAACTTCATTCTTGAATAACTTTGATTTTAAGCCAAAATTAATTGAATTTGAAGAAGCTGGTGCTTATACTACAATTCAAGATTTGCCTGGTCGTACTGTTAATGGTGGTGTTCCAACAAGTGGTCCAGTTGATTCGTTATCTTTACAGATTGCAAATATTATTGTTGGTAATGATAAATATATAGAATGTCTCGAAATCAACTTGACAGGTCCAACCATTAAATTCTATTCTGATGCATTAATTGCATTAGCAGGTGCTGATTTTGAATTTGAGATTAATGATCAAGAACAACCGTTATTCACTCAAATTTTCGTTAAAGCTGGTGATGTTGTCAAAATTGGATCTTCCAATTCCAAATATGCATCAAAAAGTTATTTGGCTATCAAAGGGGGTTTCCCAGATGTTGCAAAATATCTTGGTTCCAAAAGTTGTACACCGACCCTAAGTCTGGGTGGTCACCAAGGTCGTGTAATATTCCCTGGTGATTGTTTAACTATAGTTTCTGGTGACTCGAAAGAATTCACTGGATATAGCTTGCCAAAAAATTCCAGGCCAAACTATGATGTTGAATCCTGGACTGTTAGGATGTTGAGAGGACCTCATGACACTGAAGATATCATTTCCGAAGAAGGTTTAAAACAATTATACAATACCACATACCACGTCAATTTGAATTCCAATAGAGGTGGTACAAGATTAGATGGTCCTTCTATAGATTTTTCAAGAACCTCGGGTGGTGATGGTGGCTCACATCCTTCAAATATCTTGGAGTATACTTACCCATTTGGAGGTTTAAGTGTGGTTGGTTCTCAACTTGTTATGTATGGGCCTGATGGTGGTACATTATCTGGGTTTATCTGTATTTCAGTTCCAACAATGGCTGATTTTTGGAAAATTGGTCAAGCTTCAACAGGTGCTCCTATAAATTTTGAACTTGTTACTTACTCTGATGCTATTAAATTATCAAACCAGAGAGAAGCTTTCATCACGTACATCGAAACCAAACCTACAGGTGATAGTAAAGACTTTACTGATATACTAGATGTTGTTGATGATCATATTGATGATCCAGTGTTATTTAAAAGAGTTGGGGACAAGAATTTACCTGATTTTTATATCAAACAAGCTGGTGAAAAAATGATCATTATGGATTTTGGAGTTGTGGATTATGACTTGTTGAATAATGGTCGTCAATATATTTTAGATCTGAAGATATCTGAAACACTTAAAGAAGGCATTATTAGATTCGAAGCAGTTACTGGTGCCATGTGTATTGTTTTCAATCCACTTATTATTTCAAGGTCCAAACTAATTGAGGAAGTTTCCAAACTTGAAGAATCAATTCCACCAGTTGATGAGTTAAAAGTTCCTTCAAGAATCTTCAAGTTCCCGATTGCATTTGATCATAGTGCATTATCACACTGTTTGGGAAGATATAAAAGATCACAAAGACCTCATGCTCCCTACTTACCAAGCAATACAGAGTTTGTAATGAGAGCAAATTGTATTGAAACCATTGAGGACTTCAAAGCTGCTGTAGTTGGTCATACACAAATTGTTGTCGCAGTCTCATTTTTATGTGCTCTTCCTTTATTGGTTCATACTGATCCAAGGTTAAGGTTTTTAAGTTCCAAGTATAATCCAGCTAGAACATTCACCCCTGCCGGTGCTATTGGTACAGGATCCATTGCTCAAGCTATATATACTGTTGATAGTCCTGGTGGTTACATGATTTGGGGTATGACTTTACCAAATGGATTTTGGGATACATTTAGTAAACTGGAAGGATTTGATGACTTACCATGGATATTGAAAAATTTCGATCAAGTTCAATTTTATGAAGTAACAGAGGATGAATTAACAAAAATGAATAATGATCTTTTGACTGGAGAATACAAAATTACATCAGAAACCAAAGAGTTTGATTTCGCTGAATATTCTAAATGGCTAAAGACTGTTGAGCAAGAAACCAAAGAGATCAAATCTATGAAATTACAAGCTATCGATGTACTTTCAAAAGAAGAAGAGATTGATTTAGCAAAATGGGAAGAAGAAAAGGAACAAGCAAAAGCTTCAAAGTCTTCAACTTCTAATGGTGCTTCAATTGATGATCCAAATGCAACAAAAGTCTCGTCACATATGGCTGCCAATGTTTTCAAAATCAATTACCAAAAGGGTGATGTCTTATCCTTGGATGATAGTGTTATTGTTTTAGAAGCTATGAAGATGGAAATATCAGTTCGTATCAAGTCTAAAGAAGGGCCAAAGTTTGAAGTCTTGGACATCTTAGTTGAGGAAGGCGATATGGTGAATCCTGGTGATCTATTAGCGCTGGTGAAATCTGTATAGCGTGAATTTATTGAATTTATTGAAGCTGTAGACAGTAGTATTCTACTGGTATATTTCGGACATTTAGTTTATAATATATATATACCTATGCTACTGTGATTACTCAGCAATTATGTAATGTTTATCTACTTTTCGCGAACATTTTCTGTTTTCGCGGTACATCCAAACACCATATTTTGAATGTCGACAAAAAAGAGTAAATTGAGAATAACTGAGCGAATATGAGACGTTTATAAGAATAAGTTAGAATCTCAACAATCAGTTTTCTTTGTTTGGAACATATCAAGTGCATACGACATGTCTTATAGAAACCAAAACAGAGACAAAGGAGTCCTCCAATTTGAGGATACCTACGACGGATACGATGAAGAAGATGATGCTTTCAATGACGAAACTTTTGGTGTTGATATTCCAGAAGGTCAAGCTTTTGATTTTGGTAACCCAACTCAACAAGAACAACAACCTCAATTGAACTTTGCTGCTGCTGCTAGAGCTCCTGCCCAACCAATCCAAATTCAAGAACCATTGAATGATGATCCTTTGAAACCAATGGAATCACTATGGGGTGGTGTTTCTAGTTCACAACAACAACCAGAACAAGTTCAACCTGCTAATAATGGCCAACCTAAGGTATTATCTTTAGATGAAATTGAATCTCAACTCACACCTTCAGCTGCAAACTCAGCTGCTGCTCCAGGTCCTCAATTTCCTCAGGGTCAACCTCCTCAAGGTTCTTTCCCTCCGCCACCAGGACCAAACAATTTTTTCTATCCACCAGGTTTCTTACCACCTCAACAAGGTCCTCCAGGTTTTGGATTTCCACCTCAATTTAATTTGAATCAAATCCCACCTCAACATTTTGCTCAGTTGCCTCCACAAATTCAACAACAATTGATCCAACAAAGTCAATCTCAAATTTCAACTCCTCCTCCATCTAATGGTTCTCAAGGTCCTATTTCTCAAAATCAAGGTCCACCACCAAACTTACCTCAACAACAGTTCCCACAATCAATTCCAGGTCAACCTCAACAACAATTTGCGGTTCCACCACCTCAAGTTCCAATTCCTCAAAATCACCAACCAGGTCATGTTCAAGGTCAAATCCAAGGTAAACCAGATTTATCAGATTTCCCTGTTTTGGGCTCAGAAGAAGCTGCTTCTCAACCAAGAAATTCAAAAGACTTCCAGCAATTTGCTGATGCTCAATTCCAAGCTCAACAGTTTCAACAACAACATCATCACCAACAACGTCAACAACAACAGCAACAACAACATTATCAACAACGTCAAGGTTACCAACATCGTAATCAACACCATCATCATCACCACAACCACCATGAGAACTTTGATAGCTTACCGGAGGAAGAAAAGCAACGTTTGATTATTCGTCAACAAAAAGTTGCCCAAATTTCACAATTCTCTGGTATCATGACACCTCGTGATAAGGATTTTGTTACAAGAATTCAATTATCTCACATTGTTACTGATGATCCATATAATGAAGATTTCTATGCTCAAGTTTTCAAATTATTGAAAAGTGGAGTTCAAATCAATGATAATAATTCCATTGCTCAAGCTTACTTAGATTTCTCAGGTCACAGATTAGGTGGTCGTCATCAAAGAGCAGATGTTGCCTTACAAAGAATGCAACAACAAGTTCAAAAAGCTGTTACTGTTGCTAAAGATAGACCAAGAACTGGACAATTTTCAAAAGAAGGTTCATTAGGTAAAATCACTTTCTCATCTGGTAAAGCTCCAAGAAAACAACTGGAAATTGTCTCTCATAAACCAGAATTACCAGAAGTTTCAAAGGGTGGTAAAAAATTCATTTTATTACAATTGGAAAATATCTATCAACATGTTTTAAACTTGGAATCTGCTGAAAGAGAAAACAAACCATTGGATACTGATGAATTATGGGATTCTTTAAGACTTTTTGAAAAATCACAAAACTTGAATCCATTTATTCAAATGCTTTCATATACAAAAGGTTTGAAAATTTTCCCAAGAGTTTTCCATTTCTTAACTAGACAACAAAAATTAACTATTGTTACATTGATTTTTGCAAACTTATCATTGATCAAAATCATTTCTAAATCATCATTCAAAAACTATGAAAATGATCAAATCCCATCAGATATAAGTAAAACTATAGAATTATTCCAATTGGTTGTTTTGAAACCAATTGTCTTATTTTTATCTTATGATGCTACTTTAGATGAAGTTATTGGATTATTGACTATTTTGATTGGTCATAATAATGTTTCATTCTTATCAACTTCTCAATTAGGTGTTTCATTAATCACCATTTTATTATCAAGAGCTGAAATTATCAAACAAGAACATAATGTTTCAAGTGAAGATTTATCATCATGGTTTTCAACATATGATAAATTGTTTTCTTCATTAGAAACAAAATTATCTTTGATTTTCCCATCTTCTGAATTAAAACATGATAACTCATATATATGGCAATTCTTAGCAAGTTTAGCATTAAGTGGTAAATTGAATCATCAAAGAATAATTGTGGATGAAATTAGAGATGAAATTTTCGGTGCAGTTCAAGTCGCCAAAACTAAAGATGACTTAACTAAAGTTAAAATACTACAGAATTTGAATTTATTCTTAAACGTTATTGGTTTGAATGCAGTTGGTGATGAAATTGTAGAATTAAAATAAATATGATGAATATTTTTTGTGTTTTTTCATACTATGTACATTATTATAAACTTGTGTAATGAATATCATAATTTGTGTTTTTTTATTAATAATTAAGGTATTAATTTGTAAATGCTTGTAATGCACTATCTAGTTTTGTTAATAACTCTTGCCATTCTCCTTCTGAATCACTTAAAACTGTGATGGCTCCACCAGCACCAATTCTCCAGAGATTATTAACATCATCATTTTCAAGATCTGATTTATAGTGGAAAATTGAACGAATAATGACACTCCAATCTGCTTTATTATCTATAGACCAATATCCACAAACCCCACTATAAATACCTCTTCTAGCTCCTTCTATATCTTGTAACAATTCCACAGATCTCTTTTTTGGTGCACCGGTCATTGATCCTGGAGGCAATGATCTTGATAAAATATCGATACCCGAGTATGAAGTATTTGAAAAATAACCTTTGATAATAGATACAAGTTGGAAAACAGTTGAATATTCTTCAACGCTCATCAGTTTTGAAACTTCAACTTTGTCCAATAATTGATATAAATCATGTCTTATAAGATCAACAATCATTAGGTTTTCACCAATTTCTTTTGGTGTATTTAATATAGCAGAAGCTTTTTCAAATGTCATATCTTCAGTTTTCTTGACAGTGCCTTTAATTGGACGTAATTCACATTTAATATCATCCCAGCTGATAAATCTTTCAGGTGATGAACTGATTAAAATGCAATCATCAAAATTCATATATGCAGAGTATGGTGCTGGATTTCTTTTAGTTAAAGTCTTGTAAATCATCCATGGGTCAGTTTCTTTTGGCACTTTCAATTTTGTTGATGATGTTAAACATAATTCATAAGAATCACCACTTGCTAAAAGTTTTTGACAGTCTTCAAATTGTTGTTTATAAACGAGCTCATCTGGTCTAGTGATGTCATTAGTTTTGATGACTTGTGGAGTTGGGGGTAAAGTAATTGGTAAGTTCAATAATGGTTTAATATCTTGAATAAAATTGTCATCACCAATTGATAAAATGTAAGTTTTCTTAGTAAAATTATTCACCAAAATTAAATTTTCAATAAATATAAGCTTGGTATCTGGAATATTCTCCTTTGTGATTTTTGGTAAATTTGAGATATGAATATGATCACCTTCTTCATAAGAGAAAATACCCATGAATCCACCAATGAAAGGGAAGTCAGTATCATTTGAAACCATTTTGCGTTCCATAATTTCAGAAATATATTCCCAAACTGATGAACAATTTTCTTTGAGCTTTTTACCATCTCTTTCAGTGTATATGACTTCGTTATTTTCTGTTGAATGAGTAACCCTTAATGAATTTGCATTTGGTAACCCAATTATAGACCAAGTACCTGGGAACGAAGCTGAATTTAACAGCAAAAATTCTCTATTATTTTGTTGTAAAGTTTCACAAATTTCTAAAGCCGTCTTGTGACTTTGAAATTCTTCAGTTTTCAGGTACTTAGATGAAAAGTCCTTATTTGAAATTGGTATTAGTGGTCTAACATCAATTGAGGAAATCAACTGGTCTATCAATTTATCATTCACTTTCAAATCCCGACTTATTTTATTATATGATTTGGCAATTTCAATGAAATTAACTATGAGATTGGACCCATTTTCTGAACAAATGGATTCAGGGTGATATTGGACACCATACCATGGGTAATCTTTATGCTTTACTGCCATTATGATTTTTTCCCCTTCATCATCACAATATGCCAGTTCTTTCAGAGAATCAGATAGTTTAGGAACATGTAAAGAGTGGTATCGCACACTTTTGTATCCTTGCTCTATACCTTGAAACAGTTGATCTCCATGATGTTCAACTTTGTAAACTTGGCCATGTTTTATGGAGTTTAATTTATCAACATTACAACCTTGTGAAAGACATAAAGATTGAAACCCCAAACAAATACCTAATATAGGGATCTTTACATTGGTTAAAACGTCATTGAAAAGATCTGGAATCACACCAACATCTGACGCAATCTTAGGATGACCAGGTCCAGGACCAACTATGATTGCAGAGAACAAGTCCAAATATTTTGACAGCTCGTTGACAGGAAGTGAATCATTATGAATTGTGATGACTTTCTCTCCCGAAGCTTCTTCAATAAGGCTCCTCAAATTATAAGTAAATGAGTCATATGAGTCTATAAGCAAGATAGTCATCTTCTATACTCTATACCAGCCAAATGTACTCTGTGTTAAAACAATTGCAAAACAGTGAAAAACTTCAAGATCCGAGAAATTCGTATACCGAAACTTTTCAATTATACGTAACGGTTTTTCTGATCGGGCCTAAAACGGAAAGGTTACGGTCCGATGTGATTCAATGCTGATTTTTGAATATTAATGTTTAATTGAACTTTGAATAGAAGAATACTTGTCTAAAATCCAATTTTCAGTTCGATTCAAAAAAAAGTTCACTAAAATGATTGAAGTTGTTGTTAATGACAGGTAAGTTACTACTAGAATATTTCTTATTAAGAAAAACCACTAACATTTTATCAAGAGTTGGCAAAAAAGTCAAAGTTAAAGTATGTAAATCCCATTAATCCTAAATACATCAATGATACTAACTAGATTTATAGGCTCTTGAAGATGATTTAGTCGGTGATTTCAAAAAACTGTTAGCAGCTCAGATCGGTACAGCTTGGGAAAAGATTTTGTTGAAGAAAGGGAACACAACATTAAAAGATCACATTTCACTTGGTGATTACGAGGTACATAATGGTACAAGTCTTGAATTATATTATTCATGATGTGTTTTACTTTTTCTCTTTTGAAAATAATCATTATTACATTAAGCTATATTTAATTATATGAATATCGTAACTTTTAATTGGAAAAAAAATTCATTAATGGGATAAATTAAAACAATGCGTAAAAGGGTCAAAGGGGAGTTCATAAGAAATATTCAACTGGTTTTGGTCTCATATCCATTTGTGGTTGCTCTTCACCTGTTATTGGATCCATTTTACCCCATTGTTCAGCATTTTCTGGAGCTTCTTCAAAAACATTGAAAAAATGATCTTCTTTATTATAAATTTCCATAATAGATGCCTTATTACCACAACGATAACAATAATTAGGTGCAGACCAAACTGTAGTTACTAAACCTTTAAAATATAATTGATAACCATCATTACATAACTGATGAGCTCTAAGGATTTTATCCATTTTATTCATTTTAAGAAATTTTTTAACAACATCAACACCAAATGTATAACCTGCACCTCTTGGTGATAAAGAAAAATTTGGATTTTCATCATCTGGATCAGACCAAACTAAATCAGCCATTGCACCTTCATGTGGAATTTCTCTAAATCTATCCACTATTTTAATTTGATCAATTGTATGAACATTTGGTGAAAGTCCTCCATGTGTACAAAAAATTGAATCATCAATAACAACTGATAATATAAGATAATCAAATAAATCTGTAAAATAATACCAAGTATTTGGATTATCATATTTCCTTAGACATTCTGAATAAAATCCATAATTTTGTGTTATTTGTCTTGATTCATGATTCCCTCTAACTAAAAAAACTCTTGTTGGATACCTTATTTTTAAACATATAAGTAACGTTATAGTTTCCACACTAAACATTCCTCTATCAACATAATCACCTAAAAATAAATAATTTGTATCAGGGCAATATCCTCCAATTTTAAAAATTTCAATTAAATCATAAAATTGTCCATGAATATCACCAACAACTGTAACAGGTGAATTTATATAAACAACATTACTTTCTTTGATCAAAATTTCTTTTAATTTGAAACATAATGCTTTTATTGTGACTTCGGGGAGTAATTCTTTCCTGTAAAGCCTCTCTATACATTCATCTAAATCAGCATTAGCTAGACAAATGATCTGTTAGTATTCATTTCTCAACAATGAAATACAATCTAAACTTACAATATGTCATCACCATTCACCACCGTTACCGTGTCTTTTATGTTTTCCTTTTTCCTCCAATGCCACCCAGTTGGCTCTTTCTTGAAATTAATGATTAGCCTTGAGCCTCCCCTTTAATATGAGCTATCCAGTAATCCGATTTCCAAAAGGATCCTTCAAATAAAGTAACTTTATAAAATTTCATGTATTTTTGATAACAATAGGAAACATCTACATTTTTTGATTGACTTTTTCTGATCTGAAGGCGAAAAATATATATGAATTATGTAATCACTAAGATTTTATCAGATATTTTACTAATAATTAATTTTTTAAAAGATCTTTCCAACTAAATTTAATAAAAATAACTTGATTTCATCTTTCCTTATCTGGTTATTATTTATTGGTAATTTCTTAATTGTAGGTTTTAAATTGTTCATGTTTTAATAAACCAAAATTTCCCTTGTATGTTCTGTATTACATAATCAAATTGAGAATTTTGGGTCGATATATTTCTTTTCAGCTTTTACTCAACCTACAACAATTAATTATAGTGAAATTAATAGCTCATTATTGATATTTTTGGCTACATATTCTAGTCATCATATTCAATATTACAATATTTGCATTCTAAATTTTAATAAATTTTTTTCAAAATTATTATTGACTTTATAATTTTTATTTTTAATCTAAAATTGTCTAAATAAAATGAAAAATAATTTTTTATCAATTTTTGACTCAAAAAGTATATCAGTCGATAGCTAAAGATTATTAGATCATAATAAGCCAATAAAAATTAACCATTACTTCTTAAAATAATTAAATACATTGAAAAAAACCAGATGGTAGGGGCACTCAAAGCTACAAATTCCGGACCTCGGAAAAATCAACCAATCACAAGCAAGTCCGTGATAGTTTAGTGGCTAGAACAAGAGGGATATGGGAAGTGATATTAAATATGTTGATGTTTTGAAGAAGATCGAGAAAATAAGCACAAGATGTTGATATTGGATCGCGATGTTGTCCTAAACAAATATGTTGAGAAGATCGCGAAAATAATATTTTTGGAAAATTATATGAATCAGAGGGATATAGAGATATCATGATGATGATATTGTAATTGATATTCCTGTATTTTGGACTATTAGATTTATATCAGGGATGATGATATTGTGTTTGATGGATATTGATCGATATGAGAGAACGAAATATAGAAGGATATATATTGTCACAAAGATTCATAAAGATATATCCATATATTAGCCATTGCAGGCTCAAATTAGCGAGATTGTATCATGTATCGTAGTTATATCATTGTTATGATATGTAATACATATTTTAATATAATTTTCTATAGAATTTAGTGAAATTGAAGCCGAAATCTGAATTTTTGTAAAAAGTCACGTGATATGACGTCATCACCGGTCGCTTAGGCGGATAACAAAACTCATGTGTATCTTTGGATTCACTTGGAAATTCATAATATTATTACATAATCAATACTATCAAGATTAGTCATCATTATTATAGCAGTCACAATGTTCATAGCTAAAACCTGCATTATATTGGACCAAAGCTGGCCGCACGGGACAGCCTGGATTCAATTCATATATAAATGAGGATTCCCACATTTGATTTATATAGTTTATATGTGTTTAGAAAGGATAAGTTTTATTTTGGTTATTTTATTACATATTGTATTCACGCTCTTTATAGCATCTAATACAGTCTTTTTTTT